ATGATCTTTTTCGTAGGTGTGATCAATCGTAAACGTTTCAAAAAGAGCAATAAATTGCCAAATATCGTAGTTTGATATTCATATCTGCTGCCATTTTTTTGTACGATCATGAAACACGTACGAAGCGGTGAATATGTTTCTCTAATCAAAGTATTTGAACTGCCAAGACAGATCAAAACAAAATCATGGTGACTGACCAATAAAATGTCTACACTTGTACAAAGAAGCAGTTTTGTTGCTATGATACGAGAAATCGTGCAATTACGGGGATACGACTGATCGACACATGAATACTGCTGTATTGCACATCGTTGACCCATCTTTAAAAGTATACAAATTGATCATCTTCATATAATTGTACAGCTCTACGATTTTACTATCATTTTTCCGTACTGTTTTATTAGTCTTCTGTGTTGGTGGGATGGTTGAGCTACCGCAACGTAAATATGGCAAAGCATTCCTCCGCACTAGAGCATTCAAAATTCAAATCAGAGTTACTTATTATTCTAGAGCAACGCAATCATAGCGCGCTTGAATCATCTCATGAAAGAAATGTTCATTTATTTGTTCTTTTCGTGTATTTCAAATGCAACCGGACATACTTAGTCCTAGAAAATGATGAGGGTTATTTGTTTGTCTAGCAGTGTGGCAGATGAAAGTATCAATTAACGTTTCATTGATAGCGTAATTTATGTTTTGCCCTCCGTTACATGGAAAGAAACGTTAGTCAACGAACTTTATGCCACGTACGTTATTGATGTGTATGAAGGAAAAATGTTCTTCTCATGAACAGCAAATACATCCTGCGAATGTATCGTGCTGTGCAATCACGAAATACCAAGGAAAAACAACCATATGCGTACAAATCATACAAAACCGTTGCAGCTACTGAAGAACTACTGATAGATCCTCGTAAAAATATGTTTGGTATGAAAGCTGATGAGAGGAGAAAATATATTCTTTTCCAACACCAGCACCACCAAATATTTATTCACTGCCAAGGCTATTTTACCGTAATACAGGTTTGTTCCTAAACTACTTCGTTTCTGTTTCAATATATAAACCGGAATACGGCAGCAAGCGAAGAAAATACCCTTTTCTCAAATATCAGTGTTACTGCTTAAACATTCTTTTCTCCACACGACAAGCTGCGCTCAAATTTTGCAGTTGTGAGCTGAACACTTCGTTTGTATATTTTTGACCAAAATCTCGCGAAAATACTGCGCCACAAGGATCCAAACTTTCCCGTGGTACAAAATCGGACATTCAAACGAAACCTGGGCCTGAGACAAAAATATAGCTAGATGCTCGTAGGTACTCACCACCAGTTTACATTACACTGGCATGTATTTTGATTAAAAACTTGTTCATGAAAATATACGATTTTCCTCCACCACCGCACGCTCACTGCAGCACCCATCACATTTTACATGCACTATGACACTTCGGTCTTTTCCACGAAAGGATACGCGAATATATGAAATTTTTGGTTAATCGTTGGACCATTTAGAATTTCTGAAACGAATTGTATCGGAAAAGATGGTTTGTTCGATTATAAATCCATAAGTTGGCAGCGATAACGCAAAAAAAATGCGCATATAAGCATGCAGTGGTTCTATGTAGGCACTGAATACAATCTTAGCACTTATTTCTCATGGATGAGTGTTAACAAATAGCTGTCAGGGTCTGTCCTCGCTGCGGACACAAATCAACAGCAATATTTGCTTCATCAATAGATCAAAATGTACCTCAGTGTTTTTGTCTAATCTACACCTGTATA